TGATCTTCATAGAAGATCTACATGGCAATAAAATGGACTTAATATTCTACCAATTAAATCTATCTAAAATTTTTACCTGTCACAACGTCTGTTTCAGTAAGATTTATAATGAAACATTTAGCAGTTTCTTTATCATATATTTGTGACAATGTATTAGCATTTGCGTTATATTTTCTAGCTCTATATTCTATAGTAAAATGATGCTGTTATAGTTCTATGATCCATCTAGCATATCTTTTTTTAGCATTTTTAAGATTTTTAACTACTTTAGAGTAGCATGATCAGTTACGATAGTGAAGGATCAACTTAAATAATAATGAAAATGTTTAATTGATCAGACAATCGCTAAAATTCTAAAATAGTGATTGGATAATTTTCTTTAGTTTTATTAGTTGACCTGCTAGCATATACAATCACATATTCTTTTTCATCCTTCTTTTAGGATAGCACAGCACCTAGTCTTTTCTTTAAGGCATTAGTATACAGAATAAAAGGTACATTAAAATTTAAATATTGTAATATTAGTGCCTTAACAAGTTTTTCCTATAATCAATCAAAAGCATATTGTTGTTTCTTTTTCCATTCAAATGGTTAGTCTTTCTTTAACAACAGGGTTAATAGTTTAGCATATCATGCAAAATCTTTAATAAATTTTCGATAATATTTAAATAATCCTAATGCAGTATGTAGTTAAGTTAAACTTTTTGGTTCTAGGAATTTTTTAATCTTCTTGATCTTTTTTGGATTAGGTTAAATTCTTTCTTGTCCTACAATATATCCTAAGAATGCTAAAGAAGGTTGATAAAAGTAGTATTTTTTCAATTTTATCATAAGATAGGTATTTCTAAAAGCTTGAAATACTTGTTTAACATAGTGACGTATAATTTAAAAGATTTTTGTGTAAATGATTATATCATCTAAATAAACTATATAAATAGCCCAAGAAAGTTTTTAAGAATCTAATTCATCAGTCTTTAAAATGTTTCAGATGTATTATTTAGTCTAAAGAGTATGACTGAAAATTCATATAGTTCATTCACTATAATGAATGCAGTTTTTCAATATTATCAGGATGCATTTCTACTTGCTAGTAACCATTAGCTAAGTTAAAGTATAGTGAACCAATTTGCTCCACCTAATGAATCTAATAAGTCATCAATTCTTAGTAATGGATATGTATCAATCTTTGTGACAGCATTTACTTTTTGGTAATCAACACATAATCTATTTTCTCCTCCTTTCTTTCCTACAATTACTACAGGTGAGACCTATAGACTGTAAGAAGGTCAGATTATACTATTTGCTTCCATTTTCTTCAGTTCTTTATTTAAAAATCTAGTATTTTTAGGATTTGATCAATATAGTTTTTAGGCAATTAGCATAGCTATTCCAGTATAGATACAATGTTTAATTTCTGTTGTTTGTCTTATTTCTGTTTAGCTTTTTACACAAATATCATAATAATCTCCCAAAAGGTTGAAAAATGTTTGCTATTGATAGTAGTCTAGAGATCCTAGTTGTTTCAGATGAGTTAGATCAGTTTCAGCTGAATATCTGATGATTTTAGCAAGATAAGTGGCTGGATTATCATCTACTTATTCAATTAATTCATTATTATTAGTATCTTCTTCTGATTGAACAGGAAAGTAATAGTCAGACTAGGGGTTAAATCCTAGTTTGTCATCTAATTCTAATTCTTCAGATTCAACATCATCAGATAAGTAGATAGGATATTCTTCTAAATAATCATCCTTGTATTCTTCACTTTCATATTTATCCTCAACTTCTTGAATTATAATTTTGACTGTTTTAGAGAAGAAAATAGGGATTTTCATAGTAATTCCATCTCGTTTGATAGTAAGAATTGATTGTTTTCAGCTCATAGTAGCATTAGTTATTCTAAGCCAATCATTACTAAGTATAAGTATTTTATCTCTAGATTCAAGTACTTGAAAAGATGTAGATACTTTAATTTTTCTAATACTTACTGGAATATTATCGATGATTCTAAGAGAACAAGTTCTTGCATTTTTTACTGTTACAACTAATATTTTTGAGGATCAATTCATTTCATATTCTAGCTTTTCTACTAGGGCTTTAGTTATGATACTAGTGGTAGTTTCACTATCAATAATAGTAATTTGAGCTTTTTATCCAATTCTTAAAGTACATTTTGCAGTAGATGTTGGTTTATCATTACTTTCTACCAGATTAGTTTTCTTAGTTTTATTAGTAGCTCTTTCTTTTGAATGCCTAACAGCTCAAATTAAATCAGAATGATATTTAGAAATAGCATGTACAGTTTAACTAACTAAAAGTCCATATAGTAAATTTTGCAAATATGTAAAAACGTTAAATTCAGTTAGTTATTCAATAGGAGCAGGCAATAATATTCAATGAGGGATTTTTAACACTTTTCAGTTCTGACTGGTTCAGATACTAGTTTTGGTATAGGTTCTTCCATTTCTAAATCTTTAACAATTGTAATTTGAGGTGACTTCTGAAACATTACAGGTGTTCTTTTATTTTTAGAAACAGCATTTTTTGGATAAGGCCTAGATCTAGTATTCAAGTAGACTTCGTATTTGTCTTCATTATAATACTTCTTTGAAGTATATTCTTCATCATATTCCTTCTTATAATATTGGTCAGCTAAATGTACATCTCTTGTATCATCATAACAAGGTTTCCTATCATTTTTTCTGAGTTGTTGATGAGATTGAAAGCAATTTTTGGCTATACAGTCACACCTCGATATAATGAAGTTGCTGATCCAGCCGATCAGGACTTTATTATAAGAATCTTCGTTAACGCTATAAGGAATTATGCGGTATATATAATGAATAATTTGTTATAGCGTTAACAAATTAATCGTTATAGTAGATGATTACTGATTTCATTACATAAATATAATTTTACTATTTCCAGAAATATTTTCACATTATTAATTGTTGAACGACAGTTTTATTAATTTACTTAAATTTTTTTTTAAAAAAATTATTTTTTTAAAATAAATAAAAATAAAATAAAAAATAAAATAAAATAAATAAAATAAAATAAAATAAAAAATAAAAAAGAAATGAAGAAAAAACTAAACGAGACGAAAAAATGAAATTAAGAAACCGAAATGAAACTATAAAATGAAATTAAGTAAATGAGATGAGACGAAAAAATGAAATTAAATAAACGAAAAGAAATTATAAAATGAAATTAGGAAAACGAAACGAAATGAAAAAAATAAAATTAAACAAACGAAAAGAAACTATAAACGAAATTAGAAAAATGAAACGAAACAAAAAAACGAAATTAGGAAAATGAAATGAAACAGGAAAATGAAACAAAATGAAAAAACAAAAGGAATCAAAAAAACGAAAAAGAAAAAATGAAATTAAACGTACGATACGAAAAGAAAAAACAAACGATATGAAAAAAATAAGAAATTAAATGAATGATAAGAAAAAAAACCAAAATTTTATTGCCTTGCAGGCCTTTGCCTTATATTTCGTATTTGCCTCGTAATAGGCAAATTACAATTTCTCCTACGAGTGTGTCTCAATTCTAAAAAAGTAAATATATTTAATATAAATCTAAAA